GTATTCCATTGATAATTCATTATAGCATTTTAAAAATTCATTAAACAGCTGGCGCTGTGGCTCAATAGGCTAATCCTCCACCTTGCGGCGCCGGCACACCGGGTTCTAGTCCCGGTCGGGGCGCCGGATTCTGTCCTGGTTGCCCCTCTTCCAGGCCAGCTCTCTGCTATGGCCAGGGAGTGCAGTGGAGGATGGCCCAGGTGCTTGGGCCCTGCACCCCATGGGAGACCAGGAAAAGCACCTGGCTCCTGGCTCCTGCCATCGGATCAGCGCGGTGCGCCGGCTGCAGCGGCGGCCATTGGAGGGTGAACCAACGGCAAAGGAAGACCTTTCTCTCTCTCTCTCTCACTGTCCACTCTGCCTATCAAAAATAAAATAAATAAATAAATAAAAAAAATTCATTAAACAATCTTTTAAAGCACTCTTTAGTGCCCAGTTATTCATTCTTAGTTCATTTTCAGTTAATGAAACCCAGACAGACTTTGGATTCATCACTATTTTCAAATATTAAAAAACTTTACAGCAAAAATCTTCATAAATTTTGGAAGACATATATGAATATTGCCTTTGGATACATCTCTAGAAGAAATTATTTGACAAAAAATTAATATATGTAAGTTTTTTAAAAAGATTTATATATTTATTTAAAAGGCAGAGTTAGAGAGAGGGAGAGACAAAAATCTTCCTCCAACTGATTCACTCCCCAAATCTCCAGAGTGGCCAAAACTGGAACTCCATCTTGGTCTCCTATATAGTGGCAGGGGCCTAAGCTTATGGATCATCCTCTGTTTTCCTTGGTGCTTTAGCAGGGAGCTGGATCATAATCAGAGCAGCTGGAACTCATGAACCAGTGCTCATTTGTCATGCTGGAATCGCAGGCAGCAGCTTAAACCTCTGTGCCACAATGCTGGCCCAAAACTTTTGGTAAATATTGCAAAATTACCCATAAAACATTTGCATACATTATTCCTATCATCTGGACAGCAGAAAGTTATTTCCTCCATATCTTCTCTAGTAGCATATACTCTTATCAAAATCTTTGCTACTTTGATACTATAAGTTTGGTTCCTGGTATTTTTATATCTTTGATTACTAGTGAGAGTTGACATGGTACCAAGTATGTATTAGCCACTTTTATTTTTATAATTATATCTTTGTACAGTCTTGTACTCAGATTGCTTATTCATTAAAGAAAAAACTGCACCTGTCATTTGGGTTTTATGTAGATGCCTTCCACTTTGTTTTTAATTTTTATTTATTTATTTGAAAGACAGACACACAGAGACACAGATAGTTCCCATCATTGATTCACTTCCCAAATGCCTGCAACTGACGGGGCTAGGCTAGACCAAAGCAAGGAGCCAGGAATTCAATCCAAGTCTCTCATGTGGGTAGCAGAGAACCAAATGCTTGAGCCATGACCTGCTGCTTCCCAGGGTCTTCATTACCAGGAAGATGAAGTCAGGAGCAGAGCCAGGACTCAAACCTAAGCTCTAATATGGGATTTGGATGTTCTAAGTACTGTAAACCAAACTAGACCAAAAGTCTGACCAGTGCCTTCCATTTTTAAAAACTTTCATTATTTTGATATTAATGCTCTTTTTCTTTTTTGGTGTAAAACTTAAAAACCCTTCTACATTTTCACATTATGTAAGTGTTTATTTTTATCTGAATTGTTAACTTTATTTTTTCACTTAAATAACTATTCTACCAAAGTATCAAATCTTAAACTGGATGCCGCACTAATAAAAATAATCCCTATGTCTTGATTAGCTGTTCAGCATACTTAGGCAGGAGAACATGCTAGGATCACAGGTCAGTTCTACCAGATCAGTAGCATCTTCTCTGGGAATGTTGGAGAAATTTGAGACTCCACTTTTAGGGTTAGGGTTAGGGTTAGGGTTAGGGTTAGGGTTAGGGTTAGGGTTAGGGTTAAGGTTAGGGTTGCCTTGCCTGATATTATAATTTCTAGGCAAACGCAAATGGCAACTAGAGCTACTATTTAATTAGTAAAATGAAAGGAAATTTCAGCTCTTCAACTGGAAGATGATGATGCAAACCAATCTGGATCTCTTGAACTCAGTTTCCCAAGGCTGTGATGTTAAGGTGTTCAGTGTCTTCCTTCAATTTAGCCTAATCAAGAAAAATTGTCCTTGCCTGGTACCACTGACATTGATCAACCCTGCCCCTCCTGTCTGTATATATTTTAGTCATTCAGGAGCTGTGTGTTGAGAATGTATGTGGAGAGACAGAAAGAGAGAGAGAGAGAGAGAGAGACAGAGAAAGAAAGAGAAGGGGTGGAAGAGAACGGGAATATTGGATAAGTGAATCCAGTAGATGACATTTGAGTTTGTGATATCAGTTTACCTGGGTTTCTGTCAAATTATTATTTTTTTTATTAAAGAATCATTTATTTATTTGAAAGGCAAAGCTATAGAGAGGGAGAGGCAGAGAGAAATCTTCCATCTGCTGGTTCACTCCCCAAATGGCCACAACTGCCAGGGCTGGGTCAAGCTGAAGTCAGGATCCAGAAGGCTCATCTGGATTTCCTATATAGGTGCAGGGGCCCAAACACTTGGGCCATCCTCTGTATTCCTGGGTGTATTAACAGGGAACTGAATTGGAAGTGGAGCAGCCTGGAGTAGAACCAGCACCCACTTGGGATGCCCTCACCGCAGGCTGTGACTTAACCTGCTATGCCACAATGCCAGTCCCTAAATAGTTATTGAAAGAGGTGACACTCTTCAATTGAATGTAGACTGCACAAAGACACCAATTATTCAACCATATTTTCCCCAAAAGCCCAGAAAGTGCTTACTGAAAAGCTGTTCCAAAAAAGTAACCCTACCATCTCACTTTTATGATTGCCAAGAGTGCTAAGGAATCTCCTAAGCACAAATATCAAATGCATTTACTTCCTTTGTTCTCAAATTGATTTAATATAAATGTAAGACCACTAACTTCTAGAGTCAAGTCATCTGGTTTCTGATAAAAACTCTATAAACCGTACCATGCTTTCCCCTTAAATTCTAAAACTGATCCTTAGCTTCTTCTTCATTACTTTTAGATCAAAAACAATGCCATATTTATACTAAGCCAATGGAGAATCAAAAGCTGATTAGTGTTAGCGGATTTCCATTTTATTAAACTCCTTTCCTCAGAACAATTTTTACATATTTCATGATTCTGTTTTCAGTACATTTATATATCACTATGTTAGAGTGTACAAGTCAGTGGTTTTTAGTTTAGTCACAATGTTACACAACCATGATCCTTACCTAATTGTGTTTCTTTGAAGCATTTAAAGTTTTCTTATCTAAGGGCGGGGGAAGGGGTGGAAAGAGAGAGTGCTCCCATCTGCTGGTTCATTGCCTAATGCTCACAATGGCCCCATGCCATTTCCAAATGACTTTTTTGATTGCCTTTAAATGAGTTTACCATTGCCCTCTCTTTTTAAAAAATGGGTGGTACTTATACAGTCAAAGAATGGAGGAAGAAAGTCATCCATTTTGTCATAATTGAAATTATTTTATTTGATGTGGAAATAGGAAATAATGGAAAGGAATGATTAGTTTCACTACTCTCTTTTTTTCTGTCTATACAACCCCATTTTCACAACTTTTGATTTATATAACTTTTATATTTAACATTGGAGAGTAAAACAGCAGAACATGAATCTTCTAAATGCACTCTCTCTGTGTGTGCATGATGATAGCATTTGTTATACAGCCTTTTAGGCTGTTCAAACTAGAAGCTATTGTGTCCCAAACTCACTGAAAAAAAAAAAAAACATTTCTAATGGAGGAGTTCTGAAAGAACATTAACTTAGTGAAATAATTAATCTGTTATTTTTAAATTTAGAATTGCTGTTTCTCCAAGCTCTTTAACTTAAAATAGTCCAAAATAATAATATATAGAAACTCAAAGGTCTTTATTATACTTTTGCTTCCCTTACTTTTGTAATGTTTTACATACACATGTAAGTTAATTGGGCCAGTCAGTCTGAATGCGTATGACAGTGGTGGTTTTACATTTTGTATTAAATCACTTGGAAAATTTTCCTATTTTTTTCTTCTTTTTGTTCTCCCCTAAAATATTTTCACAAATTGTTTTTAATTTAAATTAGAGGCCTGCGCCGTGGCTCACTAGGCTAATCCTCCACCCTGCGGCACAGGCACACCGGGTTCTAGTCCTGGTCGGGGCGCCGGATTCTGTCCCGGTTGCCCCTCTTCCAGGCCAACTCTCTGCTGTGGCCAGGGAGTGCAGTGGAGGATGGCCCAAGTGCTAGGCCCTTGCACCCCATGGGAGACCAGGATGAGTACCTGGCTCCTGCAATCGGATCAGCGTGGTGCGCTGGCCGCAGCGCGCCGGCCGCGGCGGCCATTGGAGGGTAAACCAACGGCAAAGGAAGACCTTTCTCTCTGTCTCTCTCTCTCTCTCACTGTCCACTCTGCCTCTCAAAAAATAAAAAAATAAATAAATAAAAATAAAAAATTTAAATTAGATAGAGCTTTCTGATTTTAAGGGAGATAGCTATATATTGTAAGAAAATATAAACCTGTAAAATAGAGTAAAACCATCTTACATTCCCTTGTTTCACAGAAATAAGCTTACTTAAATGAAAGAATAACAGGGACTATGGGCACATCATGAATTGTAAGACACAAGATGATCAGGTGGTCAGAGGGCAAAGGAGAACCTGGAGAGTGATATTCCCAGAAGTAATGTCATAAAGACTTTTTAAAGAGGAAGTGAGTTGAATTGCACCAAGAGTGAAGAAAGGCGAAACATAAAGTATTCAGTTCAAATTTCTAAATTAAGATGGATAGAAGCCATGAGGTATGTGGCCTACTCATGGTACTCACTGGACAGACTGATAATTCTATGAACACAGTGGCACTTGTAGTTGAAACTAAAAATCCACGCGGCTTTCATTGTTGTTGTAAATCACGTTCCTGGCAGCCCCACACTCACACCTTTACTTCTGTGTGTCCACTCAGGCCTCTCATGTTATGAGCTGAAGGAGAAATAAAATATACAGGATGAAAAGATGGCAATGTTGCCTCCCCCAGGACCTCAAAGCTTTGTCCGCTTCACAAAGCAGTCTCTTGCCCTCATTGAACAGCGCATTGCTGAAGGCAAAACCAAGGAACCCAAAGAGGAGAAGAAAGATGACCATGATGAAGGGCCAAAGCCCAGCAGTGATTTGGAAGCGGGCAAGCAGCTGCCCTTCATCTATGGCGACATTCCTGCGGGCATGGTGTCCGAGCCGCTGGAGGACCTGGACCCCTACTACGCTGACAAAAAGGTGAGCTTGTTTTAACTTTATTGCTGGGTTTCCGATGGCTTCCTTCTGTACAAAAGTTACTTTTTTTGTTTTGGGTTTATTTTATTTATTTGAGAGGTGGAGTCACAAACAGAGGGAGAGAGAGAGTGGTCTCCCATCCACTGGTTTGCTCCCCAAATGGCCACAATGGCTGGAGCTGGGCCAGGCTGAAGCCTGGAGTCAGGAGCTTCTTCTGAGTCTCCCATGTGAGTACAGGGGCCCAAGTGCTTGGGTCATCTTCCACTGCTTTCCCAGGCCATTAACAGAGAGCTGGATCGAAGAGAAATAGTTGGAAATCAAACTCGCACCCATATGGGAGGCACTGCAGGCAGAGGTTTAACCTCCTTTGTCACAGTGCTGGCTCCCAAAAATTATTTTAAAGTGAGATGAAATGGAATTCAGTAAGTAACATCACAGCTGTACAGCTGTAATATTCAATTCAATGCCTAAGTAGATTATTGAGAATATATACTGATTCTATTTTATCATTACGGCAGTTCTGATATGTGAACACTACTTTTTATTTCTTTAATTTTTTGAAGTGTTCAGTAAAATTTTTTTTTCATTTTTGGACATAACACAGTGATCTCCAAAATTTCATAGTCATACCTTTTTGTTCTACTCTTACAATTAAATCCTGTGTGTGTATTAAGACCCAAATTTCCTTAGAACTTTTCAGTGTAAATGAAAATTGATAATTTAGGCTTTTAAAATTCCAGAATGATTCTTAATAAAAAGATCTATTTATTTACTTGGAAAAGTTATGGTGGAAAAGGAGAGACAGAGAGAAAGAGAGAGAGAGAGACAGAGAGAGAACGAGAGAGAGATCTTCCATCTACTGATTCGCTTACCAAATGGCTGCAATGGCGAGGATTGGGCCAGTCCAAAGCCAGGAACCAGGAGCTTCTTCCAGATCTCCCATGTAGAGGGGGCCAAGTACTTAGTCCATCTTCCACTGCTTTCCCAGGTAAATTAACAAGAAGTTGGATTGGAAATGGAGCAGTCAGGACATGAACTAGCAACCAAATGTGATGCCAGTATCACAGTCAGCAGTTCAGCCTACTGTGCCACAATGCTGATCCCTTGACTAATTCTTAAAAAAAAATCAAGTGCAAGTAACTTGATCTTGCTCAGTCTAGGTAGTAGGTTGTGATTCTCTTGTTAGCTCAGCTGAACTGTGGCTCATGAGTTCTTTGATGATTCTTTTTTAAAAAAAGATTTTTTTTTTATTTGAAAGAGTGACAGATGGAGGAGAGACAAAGAAAGAACAATGGAAGTTCTTTAGAAGTTCTTTTATCTACTGATTCCCTTCCCAAATAGCCTCAACAGCTGAGTTGGTCTAGGCTGAGGCCAAGAGCCTAGAACTCTATCCAGGTGTCCTGTGATACTTGTTCCATCTTCTGCTGCCTTCCTAGTCGCACTAGGTGGATTAGAAGAGGAGCAGCTGGGACTAGAACTGCCATTCCAACATGTGAAGCTGTTGATGTGGGTTGCTGGCATTGTGATTGGAATTTAATCCATGGTGCCACAACATTGGCCCCTCTCCAGTGATTCTGATAGACATGTGACCCTGTCTTTTCTTCACTTATCCATCTCCATTTGTATTTATCTGTATGATACTTCATTTTGCTTTATATTACAGTTATTGTGTTCTTACCATTTTTCTAGGAAGTTTCTTGAATTAAAAACTCATGCCCCATTCATATTCAAACTCCTTTTTTCTGCCTATTAGGGCAAAGTTGCTCACTATACAGTTGTAGAAAGAATGGATATATGGATTTTAGCAAGTACAATATACTAAGATTTAAGAAACAATTGGGGGCTGGCACTGTGGTGGATAAAAGCACCACCCACAGTGTCGCAATCCTATATGGGTGCCAATTCAAGTCCTGGCTGCTCCACTTCCAATCCAGCTCTCTGCTATGGCCTAGGAAGGCAGTAGAAGATGGGCTAAGTCCTTAGGCCACTGTACTCATGTGGGAGACTCAGAAGAAGCTCCTGGCTCCTGGCTTCAGATTGGAGCAGCTCCAGCCATTGTGGTCAATTGGGGAGTGAACCAGCGGAATGGAAGACCTCTCTTTCTCTCTCTCTCTCTCTGACTTTCCTTCTCTTTCTGTGTAACTCTGACTTTCAAATAAATAAATACTTTTAAAAAAAGAAACAATTGGTTGAGTTCAAGGACTATGCATTAATTTTAAAATGAATTTTCAAAGCAAACATGAATTTTTCATTAAATCATGTTTAAACATAACTGGCAAAGTGAAAGGGTACAGGAAAATAGAAGGGCTGGTGTAAATAATCAATTCTGGTCTGGTTTCCTGAGGGAACACTACCAAACACAAGGAAAAAGCCAGATTCATGAATTTATCTCACCTATGTGCAAAAAAGTTTATTTTTAGAAGCCAGCTCGTAAACTCACATAAGCCTCAGATGAAGTAAAACAATAAAAACCCAAGTAAGTATCTTCTAGATAACGCTAGTAATGTGTCTGCTACCTGCAGAAAAAAAGACAGGGATTTGCAGTTGGTCTTTCTGAAATCCAAGCCAATGTCTTGGGTTGTTTTAATGTTTTGTTGTTATTGTCATCTGTTTATTTTTGTTTTCCTAACTAAATATCAAAGCCATAGAGAGTGCTACTCATCACTCAATGACTGCATTAAAATGTTTTAACAATTTTTATTCATATTTTTCAAATTATCATGGTTAGTAGCAAGAGAGTCCTTCAATTTATGTTCTTATATTTTTGATATTATTATCGCTACAGCCAAAACAAAGAAATTCAGTTGGTGTCATTGGAAAGATTCATCAAACTCTGGACATTCTTTAACTTTATGAAAATAGTTTTGAAAGAATATATATTTCAAAACATTTGCTGTTAACCATGATAATTGTCAACAAACATTAAAATTATCAAAATGTTATAGTAAAAACAAAGGATATCTAGTTTCTATCTGATTTGCTTTAAAATGCAGTGTAATGGAAGAAATAAATCACAATTTAAAATAATTTTAGTAGTTACATTATTGTTACTATGAAAGAAATGTGAAAAAGGAACTAAATAGTATCTTGGAAGCTGTAAGGAATGAGTGCCCATAAGCCGCTCAGTTCTTCATTTTTGAAAAGAAAAGGACTTGGAGTTAATTGGCTAATATGTTGACAACTTCACTGATAGCACTGCAATAACATTGCTTAAGTCTAATTATAGTATTTCTTTAATACACACTGCCACCCAGAGAACTCAACTGCTGATATTGATATGGTAGCTTGAAATTCTGAATCTTTAATTTCATACTGCTTTCTCTTTTTTCCTGCAGACTTTCATAGTATTGAACAAAGGAAAAGCAATCTTCCGTTTCAATGCCACACCTGCTTTGTACATACTGTCACCTTTCAGTCCTCTAAGAAGAATATCTATTAAGATTTTAGTACACTCATATCCTTTTCAAAATGCTTACTTGCAAAATAATTTAAAGTGAAGTTTTTCCCATATCAGTGGAAAATGGATTTTAGTTATTGCACTTTTGGAAGATTCTCACTTTAGTATGTCAATTTCAATATAATTTAGTATAGGTATCAAAGAGGTTTGGGAGAATAGCAGTATTAGAATTTTAGAATATATTACTCATATTTATTTCTTGTTCATAGATACTAAAAAGTAGTCTATATGCTCATTTAGAACTATCTCCTAAAGAAAATTTATTAACATTTCAACAGTCATCATCCAATATTCAAAGTTCCTAGTGCAGTCTCTTATCATTCCTTGATTCTAAGCTACCTTATTCAGCATGCTTATTATGTGCACTATTCTGACGAACTGCATATTTATGACCATGAATAACCCGGCAGAGTGGACCAAAAATGTAGAGTGAGTGGATATAAGTTCATTTTAATATAACTTTAGTATTATCATCTTCATTATTTTTCTTTGTGTAAGTTTTTACATCTTTAAAAGCTGCAGTGTTTGTCATTCCATGTTATGTGAGGATACTCCTAAAAGTTCATGGGGAGTGAAATCAAAAGATAAGTTTATCTAAAGGCAAAACAAATTTTGAAATCCATGCAAACTGGAGTATTCAGAAAGTTAATAGAAAATACATGTTGTGCAATGACTTCAAAAATGCTTGCATTAAAAGAAGCACTTTTTAAAATATTTATTTTACTTCTTTGAAATGCAGAGAGAGAGAGAGAGAGAGATTGATTGATTGAGATCTCCCTTCCAGCAATTCAGTATTCAAATGCTGGCACCATCTGGAGTGGAGTCAATTCAAAACTGTGAACTGGAAACTCAGTGGGGGTCTCCCATTTGGGCCACTACATGTGGCCTCCCAGGGTACTCAGCTGCAGGAAGCTGAAACTGGGGGGCAGAAACAGGGACGGGGACCCAAACCCAGGCACTCTGGAATGAGATGCAAACATTCCAAGCAGTATCCCAACTGCTAGGACTAACACTCCAGAAAATTACCTTTTAATCCCATTTCTCCATGATGTTTTTGAACTTTACTTGTATAGTTGTTCTTTCAGTTGTTTCTTCTCTCCTATGTTATTAACTCACCAAGAGTAGATTAAATGATTAGATGCTACAGTGTTTCCAGAAGAATGAATCCATCAGATATTCTGTTCTGTTCTTAAATATGTTACATTGCACTTACTTGTGAGATGAATTTTTGATAGTAGCAATGTAGGAATTTTCTAGGTAGACCTGATATGATGTTCTTAATTATTTTAAGTCCCTTAATTTTTGGAACTGTTTCTGATTTGGACATTTTAATATTTTTCTGAAAATACATTTATTGTAGTGTATTCCATTAGAATGAGTCCAGAAAGCAATAGGCACTCTCCACTAGATACCTTCCTTTGCTTAATCAGAGAAAATAAAGATTGACATGGTGCTGGAACCTTTTCATACCCAATAGCTGACTGCATTTTTGCATTTAGGTACACATTTACTGGAATATATACTTTTGAATCACTTGTGAAAATCTTTGCCAGAGGTTTTTGTGTAGGAGAATTTACTTTCCTTCGTGACCCATGGAACTGGCTGGATTTTATTGTCATTGTTTTTGCGTAAGTATTTTCAGTTTTATTTTTTTTAAGTTGAAACCTTATGAAAATCAGAATTCACAATATTCCAATAAAACAAGATGTAGGATCTGATTGTTACTATGTGTAATGATTGCACTGAAAGGAAAATGAAAGTTCTATGCAAGCTAATCATTGATAGGGAAATATTATACTTTTCAGAAAAGATTATTTCCACTCAAAAGTATATGTCATTTAGATTGATCATCTTGCCTCACAATTATCACTTGAGTGGACAGTGTATACAGTACTAGTTAGGTTTATACTTTTTCCATATTCTTATTTAAAAATGAATACAAATTGCAATAAGCACAAAAAAGGACTCTTGTGCCTTTAATTATAATGCTCTTTATTAGCCTGTATTGAAGGGTTAATGAATGTAGTAAAATATAAAACCAAATGTTTTTACAAGCGCTGTCACTGCTTACTACACCTGATATTCATGCATTCTCTGTGAGTTATATATGCATCCATAGTTTATTTTCAAGGGGAAAGTAAGGTATTTTTTAATTTACTCATGTTATTCTTTTCTCAGTGTATTTTTCAGAAGCATTAGTTTTCAAAATCCCAAATCTAGATACAATATATTCCCTTTATTATCTTGAATTATTAAATCCATGTTAATTGGAGCCATTTAGACAATTGAGAAGGTCTTCAGATTTCTAGTCTGTGGTTTCCTCACCCAGGCCTGACCTCTGCCCACTCCTTGTCCACCACGCTCCATCCTTTCAAGGTAACATACAATTCTGTAGTACCATCTGGGGCCTGCTGATTAGAAAACATTTTATGTAAGAGGGCTGTCTCTTCTCATGGGTCTCCTTTTTCTATCCATACTATTCATATACCATAAAATTCACCCTTTTTTGTTATGCAATTCAAAGTTTTTAGTATATTAACAATGCTGTGCAATCATCACCACTATTTTAATTTGAGCACATTTTTATCACCACACACACACACACACACACACACACACAAACCCTATACCCATTAGCAGTCTTTTCCAGTTCCTCTATTCCTAGTCATTTAGGTGCCACTCATCACTGTTTTATCTCTACGGATTTGCCTGTTCTGTATGTTTCATATAAATGGACTTATAGAATATGCAGCCTTTTGTGCTGTACTCTTTAACTTGACATATTGTTTTCAAAGTTTGATAGGAAATTAAAATCTAACTTACTCGACTGTTGGGGACCTAATAATTAGAGCACTTAATTGTTTATTTAAGCAGCTAAGTGTATGAAATAATAGGAATAATATTTGTATTTTGTTTGCATCAAATGAGTCAAAGCAAATTAAATTAAGTATGTTAGAAAAAAGACTTGCAAAACTATCCATTTAAAACAGAAGTTTTCCAAATATAGCAAATACCTGACTGAAGGCACAGGTAAGTATGGTAGACTTTATCTAAATTCTGAATAACTCTGATTTAATTCTACAGGTATTTAACAGAATTTGTAAACCTAGGCAATGTTTCAGCTCTTCGAACTTTCAGAGTCTTGAGAGCTTTGAAAACTATTTCTGTAATCCCAGGTAAGAAGTAATTGGTGTGAAGCATTAGGCCACTCATAACTCCAACTGTTTGGGAGTTGCTCTTTGTTTGTTTGTGTGTGTGTTGTCACCGTGTTTGTGTATAAACTCCCCCTATTACAGATATGTGACAGAGTTTGTGGACCTGGGCAATGTCTCAGCGTTGAGAACATTCAGAGTTCTCCGAGCTTTGAAAACAATTTCAGTCATTCCAGGTGAGAGTGGGGTTAAACACCGAGGCTGACTTTGATCTTTTGAAGGAAAGACAAAAAAAAGTTTGTTTTATATAAGTTTAATTAAATTCAATTGCTTCTGCCTTTTTTACAATCATTATTAAAAGTCAGCCTTTGAGTTTAATCAATTGCATGGATCTTGGAGGATGAAGATGACCACTTGGCTCACATCTCAACTTGAAATTTTCCCTCCTGTCTAAGGATTTATTTTACACTTGCTAATCCAGGAAGGAAAATTTCAATTTGTTCTAATTGCTTTTCATGTAGTTAAGAAAAGAAATAATAAGTATCAGCATGAGGATATTGCATGGCACATTTTATATTTTTCCTCAACAAACCATTTCTTAATTTAAAAAATCACTCTTTGTGAGTTGTCACTATGTGGTTCAATATGTTGTTTTGGTGCCATTTTGAAGAGATGGTTTGTTTGACATGCATTTACTGAATTAGAACATAGAAAAATCATGTTTTACAAATAAGTATAGTTATGGTTTAAGCAACCAAATTCTATTTTGACAACTTGAGTATTCTTTGAAAACATTTTACTAATATTTTTGATCATTTGCTCTACTATAGAAAAGCAGAATATATCTAAAATTGTAACTCCACTCTTTTGAACTAGTAGACTTCTTTTGGATTAGGTTACTGAGATAGTCAATTTGATTTAATGCATGCATTTTTAGGAAAGCGTGTGTTTTGTTTCTTTCTTATTCACGTTCCTTATGCAGTTAGAAGTCCGTTTTGCCTTTTGCTTTCAGGCCTGAAGACCATCGTGGGGGCCCTGATCCAGTCGGTGAAGAAGCTTTCTGACGTCATGATCCTGACTGTGTTCTGTCTGAGCGTGTTTGCTCTAATAGGGCTGCAGCTGTTCATGGGCCACCTGAAGCATAAATGTCTTCGGAAAATAGAAAATGAAACATTAGAGAGTATAATGAGCAGCATTGAGAGTGAAGAAGACTATAAAAGTAAGACAGTTCTTAAATCTTAATAGTGTCAAATAATGCTAAAAGTGGTGTTCTCTTTAAACTATGAAATGTTGTTTTCATTTTAAATATTCTAAAGTTATTCAGATATATAGAAAGTTGCTGCAGAGTAAATTTGGATCATATTGCATATGATTTTGTTTTTAGTAAAAGCACCCCGAATAATATCTTCTGGATTTTTAAAAAAATATTTAATGATTTATTTGAAAGTCAGAGTTATAGAGAGAGAAGAAAAGACCAAAAAATCTTCCATATGCTTGTTCACTTCCCTAGATGACCACAATGACCATGGCTGGGCCAGGCTAAAGCCTGGAGCTGTTAGCTTCTTCAAGGTCTCCCACATGGTATGCAAGGTTCCAATACCTGGGCCATCTTCCACTGGGAGCTGGATTTGAAGTGAAATACCTAGGACACCAACTGTGGCCAAATGGGATGTAGGCACTGCAGGTGGTACGTTGACCTGCTATGCCTCGCTGCTGGCTCCACTTTTAGGTATTATTTTAGAATAGAAAAATATATAATACATTAACATTCCTATAGTCACACTACTACATGGGAGAACTCCAGAACTTCTTATCCCTACCTAGTACCTGTTAATAAACATTTCACCCTCTCCCCTTCAAACTTCCCTCCCCAGTCTTTGGTAAACCACCATTTTATTTTTAATTTCTGTGAGATCACTTATATTTTAGATTCTAAATATGAGTGAGATTTTGTGGTATTTGTCTTTCTGTGCCTGACTTCTTTCACTTAATATAATGAACACCAGGACTATCCATGTTGTTTTTGCAAATAACAGGATTTCACTTTTTGTGGATAATATTTTGTTATGTATATGTTCCACATTTTCTTTATCCATTCATCAGTTTATCAACAACCTAGGTTGTTTCTTTCCCTTGGCTTATTGTGAATAGTGCTGTAATTAACATGGAAGTGAGAATGTCTCTTTGATTTATATAAGTCCCCTCAGTTAAATACTAAGGGCTGGGAATACTGGATCATACGGTATATATTATATATTTAGTTTTTTGAGGGATCTCCATGCTGTTATCCACAATGGCTATACTAATTACATTCCCAATAACAGTGTTCAACTGTTACCTTTTCTCCACAGCCTCAGCGACAATTGTTATTGTTTGTCACTTTGATTATTCACTGGAGTGTGCTATTTTATTGTGGTTTTGATTTGTATTTTCATGCTGATCAGTGATATTGAGGATTTTTCCATGTACCTATTTTTATTTCCATGTCCTCCTTTAAGAAATGTCTGTTTATCGCTTCTCGGCCTTTTGGCTAAGATCAAGTGTGAAGAAATGTCTGTTTAGATCTACTGTCTGTGTTTTTTTTTATATATATATAAGAAAATTTGAAAGAGTTACAGAGATAATGGAGAGAAAGATTTCCATCTGCTGGTTCACTCACCAAATGGCTGGAATGGGTAGGGCTGGACCAGGCTGAATCATCTGGATTTCCCATGTGCATGGCCAGAGCCATGTACTTGGCCATCTTCTACAGCTTTCCCAGCTGCATTAGCAGGAACTAGCTCAGTAGCAGAGAAGTCAGGACTGAAACCCATGCTCATAAGGGATGTCAGCATCACACATGGCTGCTGATCACAGCACTGGCCCTACTGTCCATGTATTAATTGGATTATTTAGGTTTTTTTTTTTCTGTTGAATTTAATACCTTATGTATTCTGGATGTTAACACCTTGTGAAATATATAATTTACAGATATTTCTCCCATTTCTGTAGGTTGTCTCTTCACTTTGTTGATTGTTTTCCTTTGCTGTGCAAAATCTCTTTAGTTTGATGAAATATTTGTCTATTTTTGCTTTTATTCCCAATGCTTTTTGGGTATATTCTAGAAAATCCTTGCCCAAATCAATGTCTTGAAGTACCTTCCTTAGGTGTTCTTGAGTTTCAGGTCCCACATTTAGGTCTTTAATCATTTTGAGTTGATTTTTGTACATGGTGAAAATAGGAGTCTAGTTTGATTCTTCTGCATGTGGATAGCCTATTTTCCTAGCACCATTTATTTTAAAAGATTATCCCTTTTTCAATGTACGTTCTTAACCTCTGTGTTAAAGATCATTTGGCTAGAAGTATGTGGGTTTACCTGTATGATCTTTATTCTGTCCCATTGGTCTATGGATATGTTTTTATGCCAATACCATGGTGCTTTAATTATACAGTCCAGTAACACAATGCCTCCTGCTTTGTTCTTTGGCTGAGACTGCTTTTTTTTTTTAATTTGTAATCTTTATTCTAGTTTTTTCTAGTTCTTTGAAAAATATCATTGGTACTTTGTTAGGGATTATACTGATTCTATAAATTGTTTTGGGTAATACGCACTTTTAAATGATACTGATTCTTCCATTTCATAAACCTGGAATGTCTTTGTATTTCTGTGTCCTCTTCAATTTCTTTAATAAATTATTTATAGTTTTTGTTGTAGATATATTTCACCTCTGTTTCAGAGAGGGGTTTCTCCCCCCTTCCTCCCCGCACCCTTCTATCTCTTGTGGACAGGCCAGAGTGGACAGTGAGAGAGAGAGAGAGAAAGGTCTTCCTTTGCCATTATTTCTCCCTCCAATGGCCGCCGTGGTCGGCGCGCTGCGGCCGGCACACTGCGCTGATCCAATGGCAGGAGCCAGATACTTATCCTGGTTTCCCATGGGGTGCAGGGCCCAAGCACTTGGGCCATCCTCCACTGCCTTCCCGGGCCACAGCAGAGAGCTGGCCTGGAAGAGGGGCAACCGGGACAGAATCCGGCACCCTGACCGGGACTAGAACCTGGTGTGCCGGCGCCGCAAGGTGGAGGATTAGCCTATTGAGCCACGGCGCCGGCCTTGTTTCAGAGTTTATTACTAGATATTTTATTTCATTTTTTGTACCTATTAGAAATGGGATTTTTTTTCAGATTAGTTACTATTGCTATATAACTTGATTTTTGAAATTAACTTATTTATTTATTTGAAAGACAGAGTCAGAGAGAGAGAGAGAGAGAATCTTCTTCCACTAGTTCACTTCCCAAATAGCCACAACTGCCAGAGCTGGGCTGGTCCGAAGCCAGGAGTCTGGAGCTTCTTCCGGGTCTTTCACAGGTGCAAGGGCCCAAGGGCTTGGGCCATCTTCTACTGCTTTCCCAGTTGCATTAGTGGGGAGCTGCATTGGAAGTGGAGCAGCTGGGACTCTAACTGGCACCCATATGGGATGTTGGCATTGTAGGTGGGGTTTTACCTGCTATGCCACAGCACTGGCCCTAACTACTGATTTTTTTTTTTTATGTTCACTTTGTGTTCTGCAACTATTGCTGGATTTGTTCATTAATTATAATAGCCTTTTGGTAGTCTTTTCACTTTTCTATATATAAGATCATGTCATCTGGAGCATGACAATTTCACTTCCTTGTTTGCAAGTTGCATGACCTTTATTTCTTTCTCTTGTCTAATTGCTCTGGTTAGAACTTCTAGTACTATGTTGACTAAAAGTGGTGAAAGTGGGCATCTGTGATTTGTTCCAGATCTTACAGAAAAAGGCTTCAGCTTTTCCCCATCCAATATGATGGTAGCTCTTTGCTTATGAAATATGGCCTTTAATATTAAGGTATGTCCATTCCATGCATAGTTTGGTCAGTGTTTTTATGCATGGATGTTGAAATTTGTCAAATAACATCGGGGCATCATTGAATTGATCATGATTACTGTCCTTCATTCTGTTGATGTAATGTATCATGTTTATTGATTGCATATGTTGAAGCATCTTGCATCCATGGGAATGAATCTCACTTGATCATGAACAAGGATCTTTTTAATGTTGGACTCAATTTGCTAGTATTTTGTTGAGGATTTTTTCATTTATTGGCCTATAGATTTCTTTTGTGTGTGTGTCCTTGTCTGGTTTTGGTATTAAGGAAATACTAGCCTCATAGAACAAATCTGAGCATGTAAAAGTTCTACAGGTCAGAAGAAAATATGTATGTGGTCATCTTAGGAAATGGGAAATTAAGTCTATTCTAGGTGTCAGTTTGATATTGGAGATGTTTTATTTAAAATGTAAGCGTTCAGTTGGTTGTGAGAATTTCTTCACCAAAATTCAGGCATTCAGGAGCAAGTATGGAAAAGATAGCTACTAGATTGATTATAGGTGAGTTGGGGCTTTGCCAGGTTAGTATAATACACAGAGGGATGTATGGAAGTGAGCAAGTAATTAGAGTCCATGAAGTTAAGCTAGACAAAGAAAGAAGTGAGCCTAAGAGTTTGTTGATAGATCATGAGATGTGGTTGAGGTAAGTGAGTTGTCATTCTTTTGTTGAAAAAAATAAAAAAAAGTAAAGTATTTTATGTGAAAGGCAGGAAGACAGAAATCTTCTATCCTCTGGTTCACTCTCCAAATGCCTTTAACTTCTAGGGCTGGGCCATGCCAACAACAGCAGCCAGGAACGTCATCTAGGTTTCTCATGTTGGTGGCAGGGACCCAAGCACTTGAGCCATCACCTTCTGCCTCCCAGGATGTGCTTTAATAGGGAGCTAGAATCAGGAGTGAATGCAGGACTCAAACCGAGGCACTTATTCTAATGTGGGATCTAGGCATCTTAAGAGGTATTACAACCACTACATCAAACACCTGTCCCTGATTTAGCATTTTTGAAGGATCATAGAAGTATAATTTTAAAGGCCTTCTACATAGAAAGACAACATAATCTACAAATGTTTTTTGTTCCTATAGAAAAGCCTCTTCAGAGGTGTTTTTCAACTTCATTACCAAATAAATAAACTTACTGTCCATCCTACTTAAATATATATAAATAAATTTATGGATTTCATTTAGTGTTAATCACTGTCTAGTTTGATGCTTGATGAACAGCCTTTTTGCTGTTATAAATGAATATAAGTTTCATGCACAGTCTGTAGGTAATTTTCTAGTAACTATTGTGCATTAATATATTGGGCTTCTACTGGCTTAACATAGAATATACTATTTTCTGAATGTTTGACATTTATTAAAGAAAATTTGGAGGAAAACCACAGTTGTCTTCACTGCTACCAGAGAGCTTCTTGTCTCTTTCATCTATGACTCTTGTGGGAACTACATCTCCTCTGCCCTAGCTCTGCACTAGTTTCTTGGAGTTGTGTTTTTCCCCCTTGGTTGGGGAATATACCCTCTAACTCTAAAAGTCCAAGCCACACATAGTTACTACAGATTGTCTCTGAGTTAGGGCAGATAAACCTAATATTAGAAAATTTAGGTCACTGATTATGGTTTACCATTTTGTTCTACTTATCTTTAAATTGACAGAAAATTCCCTGAGAATCTGCTCCAAATTGATTATTAATTATAGGTTTTTGTTATATCAATGTTTATAACTTTCTGTTTTCACCTTTATGTATTTCACTGGGTAGTTAGGATTTATTCCATCCCTATCCATAACCTTTGCCATAATACTGCATTATCTTTCTAGAATAGATTTATTGAGAAAATAATTCCTGTGATCAAATTTCCTTTTCAAAGTATACAATTCACTGCTTTTAAAAATATTCACAGAATTTTGAATTACATAATTTATAGTATTTCCATCTCCCCTAAGAGAAACTGAGTGTCCATTAATAGCCAGCCCTTCTCTGATTCCTCCTATGTGGCAAACACTAATCTACTTTCTGCAACTATGAAGTTACCTACTTTGTACAGTCAATATAAACAATCATGTAATACATGGCTTTTGATATCTGACTTGCACTTAGCATAATTACTTAAAAGTTAATTCACATTGTACTGTTTCCATATTTCATTTCTTTTTATTGCTAAATGTTCAACCATATGTATATACAATATTGTTATACATTTATCAATTGATAAACATTTGGTAGGTTCCTATGTTTCCACTGGAATGAATAATGTAGCTATGGATATTCATGTGCAAGTTTTTATGTGGACATATATTTTCAGTTCTCAGTGTACATCTAGTAGTGGAATTAATGAGTCATGATTCACTGTTTATCTTTCAGAATCATGCTGATTTTGAATGTGCATAAGTAAACTTTATTTCTCTTTGCATTCCGCTTTCCCCTTTTCTGGAACTAGAACCAGCACCCGGGATGCCTGCACCACAGGCAGAGGCTTAGCCCACTATATCACAGTGCCGGCCCCCACTTTCCCCTTTTCTTTAGATGGTAACATTAAATTCTCTTGAGGCCAATTACTCTAATAATTTGATTTCTAGTTTACAAATTATTGCAAAGTGTTTTGTAAAACCTAAGTGAACTAAGTACATTGCTGCATCTGTCATCATTCTTGTTCTGAATTAAATATGACGACTAGTTGTGTGCTGCTATCGGCAGTTTTAACACATTCTAACATGTACCTTCTCAACGATTGGTATACGTGAACCACTGTTAGTTTAAAGCATAATTCTAAAGTAACACTTCTTCACTAAAATTACTTGGAGGTTTATGTATAAATAATTGTATCTTAGCCTCTATCCTCATTCTGCCCTGCTCACCCTAAAAGGCACAGGATACTTCTTTTTTTTTTTTTTTAATTTGACAGAGTTAGGTAGTGAGAGAGAGAGGTACAGAGAGAAAGGTCTTCCTTCCGTTGGTTCACCCCCCAAATGGCCACTACAGCCAGCGCTACGCTGATCTGAACCCAGGAGCCAGGTGTTTCCTCCTGGTCTCCCACACGGGTGCAGGAGCCCAAGCACTTGGGCCATCCTCCATTGCCTTCCTGGGCCACTGCGGAGAGCTGGACTGGAAGAGGAGCAACCGGGACTAAAACCTGGAGCTCATATGGGATGCCGGTGCCGCAGGTGGAGGATTAACCAAGTGAGCCACGGTGCCGGCCCCGCACAGGATACTTTTTAAAGACCTGTCTATACTCATTTTCACCTAAATTCCCACCTCAACCTAAGTGATTGTATTTTTTCTTCTGTGTAAAATAAAATAATGTTTAAGTCTATTAATTAGTCTTAACTGAAACTGTATAATAGTTTAAATAATAATAATCCCTGTCTTTAAGCAGCTGATGTAGAATGTGTGGATCATTGTATTAAGTGTCATACATAGAAAATCCTCTTTATGCATTTCAATAGCACTTTTTTTTTTAAAAAAAATTTAACAGGTTCATTGTAGTTCATATGTACAATCCTAAGAATATAATGATATTCCCTTTTCCTCCCTTCTTTTCCCCTGCTCTCCTTTATTTTTGAGATAAGTAGGTATCGCTATCCACATTTTACCGATAGAGCAGGTAAGCTATAAAGCTTAAAGAAAACTCACCTACATTGGAAAATATAGACGCAACATTCACATACAAGACTATCTGACTTCAAAGTCCTCCGCTGTTACTCCAAAAGCATCCTAATAATTATATTTTTCTTCTTTGATTTGCACATAAGAGAATGTTGGGCTTTTATGAAAAAGAATGGATATTTGGAAGAAGTAACATTTTTATTACTTTATACATTTACTATGCAAAGCAAACCTGCCCCCAGTCTGAGAAATAAGCCTTAATCGTGAAAGCAGAATTTATGAGACATTTTACTATTGAAAATAGGTACAAAGGGTTCCACGAATGGTGAAAAGTAGGAATAACACATCTATTTCATTGTTATATTCTTCAGACATGAAACTTTGTAAGTCATAAATAGGTATTGATTAGTGGTTAAATAATAAGAGTATTTCAGAAAACAGATCTGATTCAGATACGGTTTCACATTACTGACTTCCTTCTTCACTGAGTGTTTCAGGACTCAATCAGGGGCTCCTTTCTCTTCCTTCTTCTATCTTCCTTTGCCTCCCTTGGCTATCCTTTCTAGATAAATTCATCTAATCCCATGACTTTGAAAAACATCTATTTTAGGACTCCCAATTTAGTAGTCTACTGACCTCCAGACTCATATCAATCCAACTGTATACTTGAAAAATGTAGTTTATTTATGTTTTTTAAAGATTTTATTTATTTATTTATTTGAGAGAGTTAGAGAGAGAGAGAGAGAGAGAGAGAGACAGAGACAGAGAGAAAGGTCTTCCTGCCACTGGTTCACTCCCCAAATGGCTGCAATGGCCGGAACTGCGCCAATCCAAAGCGAGGAGCCAGGTGATTTATCCCGGTCTCCCATGCAGGTGCAGGGGCCCAAGGACTTGGGCCATCTTCCACTGCTTTCTCAGGCCACAGCAGAGAGCTGGACTGGAAGAGGAGCAGCCAGAACTAGAACCAACATCCATATGGGATGCCGGCACTGCAGGCATAGGATTAACCTGTTACACCACGGCGCTGGCCCCTTGAAAAATGCAGTTTGATACCCAGTAATAGACTCCTGCTACGTATGTGGTTCAAGCAGAGCTGCGATTTCTCCTGCAGGTCTCTTCCTACCCCCGTCTCCCTCATCTCAGGAACTGGCACCAGTACTCTGCAGTTGATATCTGCTTTGTGCTCCCTCTTGCACATGCCACACATTGCCCTCCACTCCACTTCTATTGCCTTCTCTCCATATCCACAGGGATTCTCTGAGTTGTAGCCGTCTCTTGTTTTCCTGTGATCACCTGATGATCTCAGTGGTTTTGTACTTGCTCTTCTATAAAATCCTCTGCTCACAAAGCTACTACAGTGACAATTTTTTCCCTTCATTTATATAAAGTGCACAGCTTTCATGTATCATATATATATAGTTTTAAGAACATAGTGATACTTCCCACCCTCCCATACACCCACCAATCCTTCTCCTCTGTTATTATTATTTTTTTTTTGCATTTTTGCAGTGGCACTTTCTGTTGGTTCTAATTATACTGGAAATCCGAATTCCTTCTCATGATCTGCAAAATGCTACATAATCTGATCTTGTTTAGCTCTACCACCATAATCCTCCCCACTTACCTCACAGTAGTTATTCTGGTCATCTTCCACATACAAACTCCATTTCCTTCCTAGGACCATTGCTCTTGCTCTTCCTCCTGTCCACATATCTGTTCACCAGGGTCTTTGACTGATTCCCATGCCACATTTATGTCCCAGTTCTAATGTTTCCTTCTTAGAGGACTTTCTATGACTACAGCTTATCACATTGCCTTGATTTATTTCCTTTAGCGCTTTTATCATTGAAAAACTTTTGTGCATTTTTTACTTGTTAAGTTTCTTTCTCTGCTCCCGTCCCCTAACCTCCACGCTCAGCTATATCAAAAGGAAGTTCCACACCTTGAGATCTCCTATATCATGTTTTTGTTCATATTCACTGCCTGGCCCACAAGAGGTTGTCAGTAAATATTTGAGGATGAATAAAATAAAAATGCATATACATTGCATGGGATCAGCCTGAATACATGTCTACATATTCATTAACTTATCTGCTTTATCAGTCTTAAAGCGTGCACACTGTAATATTCTATTGTTCAAATTCTTCCTAAACAGAGTATTTTTATTACTTGGAGGGATCCAAAGATGCTCTACTCTGTGGTTTCAGCACAGATTCTGGGTATGTAGTATTTGTTTTGTTTTTACCTAAAGACTGCAAAAGAAGAAAAAGCATGCTTGGCCATTTTGTTAATTGGTACATTTTGATTCATAGTGTTTTCATATATTGAATGAACAGTTTGACTCACTCTGTTCCCCAGTGAACTCAGATTCTAAAAGTTTCATTTATAACACAGACTTTTGAAAGCAAGAATTTAAGAGGTAGTACTTGAATTTCAAAGAGGCGCAAGTGATGTAAATCTTAAGCTAGTAAAGAAAGACTTTGAGAAAACACCACCAAATCTTGTTTGGATAATTTTAGGCCTTTCTTCTTTCTAGAAAGAAGACTAACAATATCAGTTTTTCTTTCTATCCCCAAATTCTTTTTATTTTGCAATTAAATATGACTCATAGGTAACTGAGTATAATGTCTGGGCCACTCTGAAGAGAAGTGCCCCATGGGTTTGGGTGAAGATATTTGCAAATGACAATCTTGATGCTTCTTCAATACTCTCACATCATTTTTCAGCAAGGCACTTGCTTGAGTTCTCCCCCCCCCCCCCATCCGGGTATCTTTTCCTCAGTTCCTATGTATACTGGGAACCTAAAAACAAACAAGATAAGGGTGCTGCTCCCTAAAGAACCCCACCACACTGCAGTTATGTAATCTACCAATTTTTTCAGAGAAAAATGTCTTACAGCTAAAGAACTTTAAGACCTTGTACAATTGCTATATTTTGACTCTGATTCTAATTCATTCCTAAAATAATTTGAGGGGAAACAGTTTTGATAAAGCCTTCCTATCAATCCTTATTAATTGAAGGAATATTATTCAACATTTGATGAAAGTTTTTCCAAATTTGATAATGATGATTATGATGCTAACAATGATGATTCTAATGGCAGTTACCATTTATTAAATACTTTCCATATGCAGGAAGTAACTTAGTTAATCTACACACATTATCTTATTTAAATGTAATATGAGGCAAATGTTATTATCCCATTTTCACAGAAAAAGGAAAGCATGCTTTGAAGATTTTAAGTAATTTGGAAAATTTATCTAACAAATAGTAGAACAGGATTCAAACCCAGTTCTTCCTTGATTTAAATCATGTTCCTTAACTCATTCAATATTGTCCTCCCATAAAAGAAACTTGAATTTGTAGCTTCTCTGTAGTGCTCCTTAGACTCTCTAATCTGCAATTGTCTTTTTCATGTATAGTCAGTGTCCAGAAGGGTACTACTGTGTGAAAGCTGGCAGAAACCCTGACTATGGCTATACGAGCTTTGACACTTTCAGTTGGGCTTTCTTAGCCTTGTTTCGGCTAATGACCCAGGATTACTGGGAAAACCTGTACCAGCAGGTGAGTGCCAAGAGAAACATGCACTGAATCTTTGAATGACATTACAAACAGATGTATGTTTTTTTTTTAACCAACTTTATAATAGGTTTATTTTCTATTCAATTGAGAATAGAAGGAATTCTATTGCCTTATTAATAAAAGTAGAAACGTTTTAATCCAGCACTATTAGAGTAGGAAATGCTTTAATCATAAGTATGTTTCTTAACTTTCAAGGAGTATATTTGATTTCTAGATCTTTCCATTTCCTCAGTATCTCATTCCACTATGTCCTAGGCAAATAGCAGAAAATGTACTGTAATGTTCTCCTGAGACGCTCCTGTACACACCCTGTCTCTGGTCCTTAACTGTTAACTCAACATGGCCCTCTCCTCTAATTTGGATGTAAACATCTTTGCACTGTTGACTGTGTTGATTTGTTTATTCTCAGCAGCCAACCTCAACAAGGACATCAAAATGATTGTTTCGTATTTTAAATAACAATGGAACTTTCCTCAGAATGGCCTTAGATTCTTCTTTTGGCATGTTTTATACTTACTTAGTATCTGAGAATATTATAGATAAATATAGAAATTATATAAAATGCACTTTACAGGAAAACAGGGAAGCAAATTGTTTTTTAAACATGCCAAAAAAGGTCACTCTTAACATTAAAGAAATACAAATTAAAACAATAGTGACATATAGTTTTCACTTTTAAGCATGAAGACATTAAAACACTTTAAAAAGATATCAGAGGTACAGGTTCCATTATTATGAACTTATTCAGGCAAAGAAATAAGTAACAATAGCCAATGGAAAGGGAATTGAATAGGAAGGCATCAGAAGTAAAAGAGATATGTATTTTTCATTGAATATCTATACTATTCTGAATCAATTTAAAAATAATATATGATAAAAAGTATACTATATTATTAATATAACTTGAGAAAGAAATATTTAACATTGTTAATATTAAGCACTATTGTTACTATTTCATGTTAAAGAAAGAAAAGATACAATTTTAACAGTAAAAAGAACTATAGATATCATCTGTTTCTAAAATTTGAAAATGAGCAACAGAACTAGTTTTATGAGTTATTTTTATATTGTAATAAAAAAGCAAGATACTACATTATCTTACTTTGTATTATCCTTTATAGTGAAAATGTATTTAATACTAATTGTATCTCATGAAGTCATAATATTATTCTTTGCATTTTTCATAACATGAGACTATACAGAATTTCCCAATCTACTCAAGCTTAATAGGCCATTCAAGTTGAAGTAATTTATTAAAAAAAAAGTTTGTATTTTTAAAATATCAATTTCCATTTCCATTTGTCTTAGACACTGCGTGCTGCTGGCAAAACCTACATGATCTTCTTTGTTGTGGTGATTTTCCTGGGCTCCTTTTATCTAATAAACTTGATCCTGGCTGTGGTTGCCATGGCCTATGAAGAACAGAACCAGGCAAACATCGAAGAAGCCAAGCAGAAGGAGTTAGAATTTCAACAGATGTTAGATCGACTTAAAAAAGAACAAGAAGAAGCAGAGGTATTGTGATTTGGCTTAAAATTCTTCCCAGAGGTAGATGTGCAAAGAGTAACAACAGAGGTTCTGAGGTCTGTGCCTAATCTGCCTCAGGTCTGTTTTGGTACATAAACTTCATGCTCATTTTTAGTGTGCGTGAAGGGAGAAGTTCTGGACTGAGCTTGAGTTGACACCTTTGCACTCTTGCATTAAAGGTGTTCTGTAACCATTTCTCCTAGACCTGGTACCCACAATGCTTTAATAGTTTGGGATTATACACAGTCTAAACATATGAAGAACTATGTCACCAGAATTACAATAATACTCAAAGGATTAAGGGAAATTATTTTTATATTAAAATTAATAAGCATTGTATGGGTTAGAAATGAAAATATGCATCACTTTGTTAATGTTACAAGGATTTTTAAGACATGAGATTTAAGGAAGTCATAATAAACATTGTAGCCACTTTTGGGATTCTTTGCTCTCCTAATGAATACTTAAGTGGAAAAACTTGAGAAGGCTTGTGTTAAGAGACATATAGGGGGCAGATGCTGTGGTGTAGCGGGTAAAGCTGCTTCCTGCAGTGCCGAAATCCCATAGGGGCGCCGGTTTGAGTCCCAGCTGCTCCACTTCCGATCCAGCTCTCTGCTATGGCCGGAAAGGAGCAGAAGATGGTGCAAGTCCTTTGGCTCCTGCACCCACATGGGAGACCTGGAAGAAGCTCCTGGCTCCTGGCTTCAGATTGGTGCAGCTCTGGCCATTGCGGCTAATTGGGGAGTGAAACAGTGGTTGGAAGACCTCTCTCCCTTTATCTGCCTCTCCTTCTCTCTCTGTTTAACTCTGACTCTCAAATAAATAAATTTTTTTTTTAAAAAAAGAAATATAATTTCAAATATACTGGAAGACTTTTAAGAATTATCTATGGACAAGTAGCTTAGCAGTTCAGTTACAGATTAAAACAGTTGCACTCCACACTGGAGTACCTGTTTTGATCCCTGTTCTAGTACCTGACTCCAGTTTCTTGGTAATGTAGACCCAGGAAGGCAGTGGTGATGACTCAAGTATCTGGGTTCCTGCCACCCACAAAGGAGATCTGGATTGAATTCTCTCTCACTCCTGGCTTCCGTATAGTCCTGGCCCAACTACTCTGGACTTTTGAGGAGGCCATTAGGAAGTGGTAGTGTGCGCGTGCTCGCTCACTCGCTCTCTCTCTCTCTCAAATAAAAAAAGATCAGCAACAACAATAAAAATGCTAGTTTGATGGTTTGACGTATCTTAGTCTCTTCAAAGAATCTAACATGCTAGGAGAGGACAATTTGTAACATAGAAAAACTTTGATGCACAAAGATGTTTGACAACATTTAAATAACTTTAAAAATGAGAAATCTGCAAAATAACATTTAAATTTTGAAAAATCACAAAATGATTAAGAAGATTTTAGTAGTTTTATATCTTATAGTATTAATTAGTCAAAGAATTGTAAGTTTTAAGAAAATTATTAGGTCATGGGAAAAGCTGTTAAAGTAATGATGGATTAAATCTAATGCAATCACAATTAAAAAATTATACAAATGCATAATAAAATTTGGAGGAAATAGCATAACTATTAGTTATATATGAGATGTAATATTATGAGTTTCTATTTTTTACTCACATCCTTAGTTCTCACATATTTTTTGGTAATAATTGTTTAATTTTTATAATATAATTTTATAGAGAAATAGTACAGGTTTTAGGTAATATCAGGCACTACCTAAGGAACTCCTAGGAATTCTTTTAGGGTAATAATCATTGACCTTAAATTTAATTGGCAGATTACATGATAAGCATGCATATTATTTTTAAAAATTTTTCTTAAAAAAGATCTATTTATTTGTTTGAAAGGCAGAGTTGCAGAGAGAGAGGTAGAGACAGACAGAAAGAGATCTTCCACCTGCTTGTTCACTCTTCAAATGGTCACAACGTCCAGTCAAGGGCCAGGCCTGGGTCAGGCCAAAGCCAGGAGCCAGGAACTTCATCCACGTCTCCCACAGGGGCCCAAGCACTAGGGCCATCCTCCACTGCCTTCCCAGGCACATTAGGAGTTGGATCAGAAGTGGAGCAGCTGGGACTTGAACCAGTGCCTATTTGGGATGCCAATGAAGCAATAAGTGGTTTAACTCACTGCCCCACAGTGCTGGCCCCCATACATGTTATCTTATTACATGGTTTATGTGAGCTTTATGTTACAAAATTACCTAGTAAAACTTTAACATGCAATATTAAATTTGCTTTACTGTATGCAAATTAATGACACATAATAGTTTAATTTCAAAGTAAAACAGATTTATTACAATGTGGAAGATAAGTTTATGCTTTATAATCTTTTTGGTGATAGAGCAATAAAAGCTGTTATAACTTCATTTCCAAGGGATACAATTATATGCACACTATAATTAAATTGATAAAAGAGGTACCTTGGGACAAATGATAAAAGAGGTACCTGGAATTTGGAAATGACTCACATGTGTACCACATCTTTGTCCAACAGGCAATTGCAGCGGCTGCAGCTGAATATACAAGCATTGGGAGAAGCAGAATCATGGGCCTCTCGGAGAGTTCTTCAGAAACATCCAAACTGAGTTCTAAAAGTGCTAAAGAAAGGAGAAACAGAAGAAAGAAAAAGAATCAGAAGAAACTCTCCAGCGGGGAGGAAAAGGGAGATGATGAAAAGTTGTCCAAATCAGAGTCAGAAGAGAGCATCAGCAGGAAACAGTTTCACCTTGGTGTGGAAGGGCATAGACTAGCACGTGAGAAAAGACTGTCTGCACCTAACCAGGTACTCCCCAAACTGTCCAGTGCCTGTCATACAGGCAAAGCAAAGTGTTTTATTATAAATGAATGGGAAAGGAATAGTTTAACATTAAAAAATAAAACTATCCATTGCTGGTTACTTGAGTTTTATTTTTGAGGGATTTATAATGTTAGAATTGTTATATCTTCTCTAATAAGTAATTTGTCAAAATAAAATTATTCACGAGCACCACTGTAGAAATGAAATGACTGTTTATACTAGAGTAATTTTTTCCCAGTTTTTATTTATATAAATGAAACAAATGTCAAATATGCAGTTTTAAAAGCATAGTGATGCTTCCCACCCTTCCTCCTCCTTCCTTTCTTATTTTTGTTTTGTTATGATGACATACATTCAATTTACTTTATAATCACAAGTACAACCCCTCGCTGAATAAAGAACTCAAGAATTAGTAAGTAGAAAACCCACTATTCCTCAAGAGTATAGAAAAGGGCTATAAGCAATAATCAGATCTCAAACTGTCAATTTTACTCATACCCATTACATTTTTAATATTCTGTATATTATTTACCATAAATCAGGGAAAACATATGATACTTGTCTTTTGGGGACTGGCTTATTTCACTGAGCATATATTCTCCAGTTGCATCCATTTTCTTGTGAAAGACAGAATTTCATTCTTTTTTATGGCTGAGTAGTATTCCATCATGTAAACATACCACATTTTCTCATCCAGTCATCAGTTGAAGCACATCTGGGTTGATTCCATATCTTAGCTATTGTGAGTATGGCTGCTGTAAGCATGGGGATATAGATAACTCTTTCATTTGCTTATTTCATTTCCTTTGGGTAAATTCCCAGGAATGGAATTGCTGGGTCATGAAGTAGACCTATGTCCAGATTTTGAGAAATCTCCACCGTTTGCCATAATGGTTGAGCTAATTTACAGTCCCACCAACATTGGTTTAGGGTACCTTTTTCCCCACATCATCATCAATATTTGTTATTTAAAAAAAAATTTTCTATAATAGCCATTTTAAATGCAGTGAGGTGAAACCTCATTGTGTTATTTTTTTTTTTAAAGATTTATTTATTTGAGAGATAGAGTTACAGACACAAAAAGGGAAAGACAGAGAGAAAGGTCTTCCATCCACTGGTTCACTTCCAGATTACCACAATGGCTAGAGCTGGGCTGATCTGAAGTCAGGAACCAGGGGCTTCTTCCAGTTCTCTCACGTGGGTGTAGGGGCCCAAGGACTTGGGCCATACTCCACTGCTTCCCCAGGCCATGGCAGAGAGCTGGATCAGAAGAGGATCAAACAGTTGCCTTTATGGGATGCCAGCACTGTACATGGTGGCTTTGTCCACTATGCTACAATACCACCCCCTCATTTTTTTTTCTGACAGGCAGAGTTAGTGAGAGAGAGAGGTACAGAGAGAAAGGTCTTCCATTGGTTCACCCCCCAAAGGCCACTACAACCAGCATGCTGCACCGATCCGAAGCCAGGAGCCAGGTGCTTCCGCCTGGTCTCCCATGTGGGTGCAGGGCCCAAGCACTCAGGCCATCCTCCACTGCCTTCCTGGGCCACAGCACAGAGCTGGACTAGAAGAGGAGCAACTGGGACAAAATCTGGTGCCCCAACCGGGACTAGAACCTGGGGTGCCAGTGCCGCAGGTGGAGGATTAGCCTAGTGAGCTGCGGCGCCAGCCGCATTGTGGTTTTGATTGGCATTTCTCTGATGGCTGGTGAGCCTGAGCATCTTTTCATGTTGATCTTTTGTTTGTCATCCTTTGAAAAATTCCTGTTCATATACTTAGCCCATTTCTTAGATGGATTGCTTGTTTTATTGTTGAGTTTCTATTTTTTTCTTTTTTATTTATTTTTTTAAATGATGTAATCCCATTTGTTAATTTTGATTTTGACTTTCTATGCCTCTGAGGTCTTTTCCATGAACTCTTTGCCTATACCAGTGTCTTGTAGGGTTTCCCCAATATTCTCTAATAATTTGATGGTGTCATGTCATAGATTTAGCTCTTTAATCCATCTTGAAGAGATTTTTTTGTTTTGTTTTGTTTTGTTTTTGTTTTTGTTTTTTTTTTTTTTTTTTGACAGGCAGAGTGGACAGTGAGAGAGAGAGACAGAGAGAAAGGTCTTCCTTTGCCGTTGGTTCACCCTCCAATGGCCGCCACGGCCGGCGCACCGCGCTGATCCGAAGGCAGGAGCCAGGTCTCCCATGGGGTGCAGGACCCAAGCACTTGGGCCATCCTCCACTGCACTCCCTGGCCACAGCAGAGAGCTGGCCTGGAAGAGGGGCAACTGGGACAGAATCCAGCGCCCCAACCGGGACTAGAACCCAGTGTGCCGGCGCCGCTAGGTGGAGGATTAGCCTAGTGAGCCGCGGCGCCGGCCTTGAAGAGATTTTTGTGCAAGGTGTAAGATAGGGGTCTTGCTTCATACTTCTGCATGTGGAAATCCAGCACCATTTGTTGAAGAAACTGTCCTTGCTCCAGGGATTGGTTTTAGCTCCTTGGTCAATTATAACTTTGTTGAAGATGTTTGGATTGGTTTTTGGTGTTTCTATTCTATTCCAGTGGTCTATCCATCTCTTTTTGTACCATTACCAGGATGTTTTGATTATAACTGCCTTTTAGTATATCTTTTTTTTTTTTTTTAATTTATTTGACAGAGTTACAGACAGAGAGAGAGAGACAGAGAGAAAGGTCTTCCTTCCGTTGGTTCACTGCCCAAGTGGCCACCACGGCCGGCACTGCACTGATCCGAAGCCAGGAGCCAGGTGCTTCCTCCTGGTCTCCCATGCGGGAGCAGGAACCCAAGCATGTGGGCCATCCTCCACTGCCCTCCTGAACCATAGCAGAGAGCCAGACTGGAAAAGGAGCAACCGGGACTAGAACCTGGTGCCCATATGGGATTCCGGTGCCACAGGCGGAGGATTAGCCAAGAGAGCCACAGCGCTGGCCCCTTTGTAGTATGTCTTGAAATCTGATATTGTGATGCTTCTGGCTTTGTTTTTGTTGTACAAGATTGATTTAGCTATTCGAGGTCTCCTGTGCCTCCATATGAATTTCAGCATCATTTTTTTCAGATCTGAGAAGAATGTCTTTGGTATTTTGGTTGGTATCACATTGAATTTGTAAATTGCTTTCAGAAGAATAGACATTTTGATGATATTGACTCTTCTGATCCATGAACATGGAAGATTTTTCCAGTTTTATTTGTATCTTCTATTTCTTTAATGTTTTGTTATTTTCATCATAGAGATTTTTTACGTTCTTAGTTAAATGTATTCCAAGTTACTTGATTTTTTTTGCCAATGTGAATGGGATTGATTTAGAAACTCAGTCTTAGACTTAACATTGTCTGTGTATATGAAGGCTGCTGATTTTTTGTATTGACTTTATATCCTGCTACTATACCAAACTTTTCAATGTGTTCCACTAAGAATCTATTGGACTGCAAATAGAGATAGTTTGACTTTCTCCTTCCCAATTTGTATCCTTTTGATTTCTTTTTCTTGCCTAACATCTCTGGCTAAAGCATCCAGGACTATATAGAATAGCCATGGTGAGAATGCACGTTCTTGTCCGGTACCGGATCTTAGGGGAAGTGCTTCCAACTTTTCCCTATTCAATAGGATGCTGATCATGGATTTGTCTTAATTTTCCTGCATTATGCTGAGGAATGTTCCTTCTAAACCCAATTTTCTTAGAGTTTTCATCATGAAAGTATGTTGCATTTTATCAAATGTTTTCTCTGCATCTATTGAGATAATCATATGGTTTTTGTTCTGCAGTTTGTCAGTGTAATGTATCACATTGGTTGATTTGTGAATATTGAACCATCTCTGCACACTAGGGATAAAGCCTACATGGTTTGGGTGGATGAACTTCTGATGTGTTGTTGGAATCAATTTACTAGAATTTTGTTGAGGATTTTTTGTAACTACGTTCATCAGGGAAATTGGTCTGTAATTCTCCATTGCATATTTTTCAGGTTTAAGAATTAAGGTTATGCTAGATTCAAGAAAGAATTTGGGAAGATTCCTTTCATTTTGATTGTTTTGAATAACTGGAAAAGTATTGGAGTTAGTTTCTCTTTAAATGTCTTGTAAAATTCAGTAGTGAAGCCATCCAGTTTTGGGCTTTTCTTTGTGGGGAGTACCCTTTTTACTGATTCAATTTCCATGTTGGTTATGGGTCTATTTAGGTATTTTATGTCTTCATGGCTCAATTTAGGTAGGTTATATGTGTCCAAGAATCTATCCATTTCTTCTAGTTTTTCCAGTTTGTTGGCATACAGCTCTTTGTATGATGATTCTTTTTATTTCTCTGGTATGTGTTGTTACATTTTCCTTTTCATCTCTAGTTTTAATTGATTTGGGTATTCTCTCTCCTTTTTTTGATTAGTTGGGCCAATGGTGTGTCAATTTTTTTCAAGAAACCAGCTTTTCATTTTGCTGATCTTTTATATTGTCTTTTTGGATTATATTTTTTAGATTTCTTCTCTAATTTTAATTTCTACTCTTAGTTTTGGGTTTGGTTTGCTGTTGTTTTTCTAGATCCTTGAGATGCATTGATAGCTCATTTATTTGGTGCCTCTCCAGTTTCTTGATGTAGATACCAATTGCTATAAACTTTCCTCCTAACACAGCTTTTGCTGCATCCCATGAGTTTTGATATGTTGTGTTGTCTTCATTTGTTTCTCAACATTTTTTTGATTTCTCTTGATTTCTTCTATGAACCACAATTCACTCATAAGCATGTTTTTAGTCTCCATGTGTTTTCATATGCTCTAGGGATTCCTGAGTTGCTCATTTTCAGTTTCACTCCATTGAAGTTTGAGAAGACACATGGTATGGTTTCAATTATTTGAATTTGCTGAGACTTGTTTTATGACCTAGTATGTGGTCAGTCCAAGAGAAAGCTCCATGCACTGCTGAGAAGAATGTTTATTCTCCAACTGTAGGATGAAAAGTTCTGTAGCTATCTGTTAGGTCCATTTGGTC